AGATGATATACTAAGATGTTGCAAAGTTTGCTGTGGTCATTGTGGTGGTGAAATTCCATTAGGTTTGCTCATCATCCTACACCTAGCCATGGTATTTCATGCATTGAAGATTATGGTCTCAGCAACCGTAGTAAAACAGCACTAGTGCTTTCCTGTTCTTAGACTGTCTTCTCAAAGAAATACATAGCCAGCAGTGGAAGCAGCTGAATCTTTGAGTAATGTGCTCATAGGCATGAGCTTGTAATTCAAGCGCACGTCATACAAATGAAAGTTTCATTTTCCTAATAATAATAATATTCTGCTTTTTTATAGCGCTTATTACGTTTACCATGTCTCTAAGCGCTTTACAGATGTAGTCCAAGGAAGCCTCAACCATTGATTGATATATTTCGTGATTAATATCAGCGGAATATTAATGATTTTTTTTTTGGTTGGCACCCACAATCAATACCATGTGGTGTAAACATGAGGAAAGAAACGGCCTGGTTTCTAATTACATTCTGTTTGTCTCACCCTACATCAATTATAGGCTTAGGGGGGAGTACGATATTGAGGTCGATGCGAGATAGAAAGACGATCGAGGAGCACAGTTTAAATCAACCTAATTTGAATTACATGATTTGGAATACTACCAAGTCAACACCACGGTGCACTTTTTCCCCTCCATTTCAAGATGATACACAAGCAGAGTCGTATACTGTGTGAGTCAAAAAAAAGTTTACACCTATAAAATTGCTAATTATTTTTAAAATCATCTATGAACAGTAAATTATTATACATCTTACGAAAGAATGTTTTATCCCAAATCATTCGGTACCATTTTTGTGTGGTATGTGTTCACGCTTGGATGAACAGGGGGCATTGTTTGCGAGAGTGCAAAAATCGACTTGCGCCAAAGTGATGCCTTCAGTATGTATTATGTTGGGATTAGCGGAGTGAGAGAATGGATTGAATGTATCAAATGAAATGCATTGCATATGTTTTTTGCACAGGGCAAAGTCACACACACCCACACACGCGCACAAATGTTCGTTGATATTTGATATTCGATATTTGATATGTGTGGCATGATTAATTTTGTTAGGGGTGTTGTTTGGATCTGCAAATACCAAATTAATACCCAAAACCCAATTGTCTTATTCAAACATTACATAGACAACTTTGGCGCAATTCGATTTTTGCACTCTCGCAAACAATGTCTCCTGTTCATCCAAGCGTGAACACATACTACACAAAAATGGTACCAAATGATTTGGGATAAAACACTGTTTCATAAGACATATAACAGTTTAATGTTCATCGATGATTTCTTAAATAATTAGCAATTTTCTAGGTGTAAACTTTTTTTTGACTCACTCTGTATATATATATATATACAATATATATCACATAGCATTTAATCAAGATAGCTGTCTATTTGGAAACATTAAACTGTGTTGCGTGAGTGTGAAGACATCCCCAGTGGCATCGATTGTTCGTTTAGCTGGGACATGATGTATGTTCTCAAGGCCTGTCCTCATCAGCTAGAGTTTGCCAAATAACCCGATATTTTAACTATCCCGATCGCAAATTAACCAGTTAATTTGCGTCTTCATCAGCCCGCAGTTGCAATTAGCATGATATTTGGTTGAGAAAATATCCTGAGAAATCTTGGTCTTGTTTCCAAAATATTCAGCTATTTGGGAAATAGCGAGCTAATTTGCGCCCGTCTTCATCTAGTTTAGTGTGATGAGCGTATCGGTCTGGTGAAGATGCAATTTCGAGCTTCGGGATAATATCCAGAGTCTGAAAATAGAGGGTTATTTGACAAACTCGTTTGGCAAACTCGAGCTGATGAAGACAGACCTTAAGAGGCTCCTGAGGGAAACGGGAAATGGAGAAACCACTTGTGATAAGAGTCTATCCAATCAATGTGATATGTGGCAACCCGTGTTCACTGTCTCAGATCCTTAAAGGGAAAGTGCATGCCAGGGGAATGTTTCACAAAGACTAAGATCGACTTTAGTTATACTTGAACTATGGAATGCCGTTCATGCGAGTGCTTGCTCTCACCATTCATGGCATTGGTCTCTCAAGGGACGTACAAATCTTGGTCACAAATCTACAGAATTCACAATTTTTGATAGTTTATTATTGAAGGAAAAAATATCATCTAAATATCATAATTTCTATTTTTTTTTTCCTCAAATTTTACATCTGGTTCAAGACTTTTTAAGGGCATTTATAAATCACGTACCATAGTATGAGTCAGAGTCTTAAATATAACTTAAGTTTACAATGTAAGTAACTTTTTTTCTTCAACAATGGACTATCAAAAATGTATATTCTGTAGATTTGTGACCTCCCTTGAGAGACCAATGGTGAGAGCAACCAGTGGCATGAATGGCCTGCCATGATTTAAGTCCAACTTAAGTCGATCTTAGTTTTTGTGAATCACCCCCCAGGTTTGACAACACTTAGTAGGCTGTAGTGTACAAATAGTAAGTGAACCATGATAGCTAAAAGTTATTGTCATTGATCCTGCTACTTTTGATGTTTCACCAAAAGAGAGATATGAGAAAGTTTTGTCCTTCAGTTTTACCCTATCTAAGAAAAACCTTTTATCTCTAACATATGGTCAAGACAATGTTTTATTATAGATTAATATAGACTTATCACTAGGTGTACATGTATATAGACATATAGTAAATTTTTGAGAATTTGTTTTGTTAATTCAAAGAAAAATCAGTTTCTTCGTGTAGACTTTGAAACTCTTCCATGACTCGTGACTAGGTATATTTAACAAAGCTAACTGCTTCTTGGAATAAGAAATACATGTGTTTCAGAGTTCCAGACTGTGTTTGTTTAGTGAACTCATTTGTTCTTTAGGTATAGAGGAAAAAAGAGGAAAAGCATATCTTTCCTAAAAATGAGGAAAACCATACATTAGAAAGTGTTTTTTTTGCATTAAATTTCAAGGCTGATTTCTCCAGAAGCAGGTGTGATTCATGTTCTCAGTCTTACCAAAATATTTCTCAAAGCTCTGTGATTCCATTATCATCTCACTTACATACAGATCTGAGCTTACATCTCTGTACATGATATTTGTTTTTAGAAGAACACTCATGTTATTTTATGTGCTTTGATTGACATTCTGTTATACATACACAGGAAAAATCCATCATTCTTCCAAGTATTGAAGGGATCCGGTAACTTTGTCTCAGATTCTGAAACAAAATCCTGGATTTAGCTCATGCTGCAATGATAATTATAAACCTTTAGGTCAGTCAGGAACCCCATGACTTTTACAAGCCGATCGCCTGTCTGATTATCAAGATATTTATGATTGGAATTACAAATTTTAAAAACCGTTTGCCAACCGGTTTTTATAACACTACAGTCTATTGGCGAAAACAAGTATGGTAAAACCGGTCACTCAAAGATTTTTACTTTTTGGAGGCAATTCTTGATCATTTTGAAGCGCAATTGTTTTAGGGCTTCAATAATATACCATATCACAGACACTGATAACATGTAGGGCCGTGCATCTCAGATTTAACATTTATTAAATGATGCCTTTATGATACTCATGAGTACATAATGTGATATGTTATGTGTCAGATGTTAACCATCTTTAAATAAAGTTTGGTGCCTGTCGCTTTGAAGCGCTCCAACGCAATCCAATTGAATTCAATCAATTGAATAAAAACATTGTGCTTCCTTCTGCATCATCAAGGTTGCATGCATCTGTGTAAGATGAGAAGAGAACAGAAGCAGTGGATCAATATCAATATTAAAAGGATGGTATAGTATTGGTCATATATCCTTTGCATTGCCACAATGACAGAGAGAGAGAGAGAGAGAGAGAAAAGAAGGCAGGGACTGTGAGTGATAGAGGGAGAGAGAGAGAGAGAGAGATCAGGGAGAGTGAGTGAGAGAGAGGGAGAGATAGAGAGAGAGAGAAAAAGAGAGACAGAGGCAGAGAGAGACAGAAAGAAAGAGGGAGGGGAGAGTGAGTATTTAAGAGAGAGAAAGAGGAGGAAGGGGGAGAGTTAGTTAGTGAGTGAGTGAGAGACAGAGAGAGAGAGAGAGACAGTGAGAGAGAGACAGAGAAAGAAAGAGGCAGGGGAGATTGAGTGTTTCAGAGAGAGAAATAGGAGAGAGAGAGAGAGAGAGAGCAAAGCTTCTGATTAGATTCACATATGATTATCGCATGTCCATTTCAGAGCTTCTCCGTTACCTTTTCCTGCGTATATATATATATATATATATATATAAATATATGCAGTGAAGGCTTTCAACGGTCAGACTGACGATGCATCCAAGAAAACCATTATGAAAACAATTCCGAAGTTTATTGTCCTCTGGTGGCTTCCATTGTAAACGTTTGCCAGCCTTAGCTGCTACTGGAGTCAATTAAGGAAGCTGCATTGTATTAATATTTCAGTACTAAAGATTAGAGCATTAGCGCAGTGATCCGTGATGCCAGGCTAGCGACTGGGGTTTATACAGGGGAGAAATAATTGAAACAAAAAGAGAGAGAGGGATCGAGGGACAGAGTGGCGACAAGCTGGTGATTGTGATATGGATGGGGAGATGCTGATACACCGACAAACGGTAGAGGAAAGAGGACGTGTGAGACATGAAGGAGCAAAAGAAGAGAGACATTTTGAGAAAGGATGATAGAGAGAGAGAGAGGGGGAGAGCGAGAGATAGAGAGAAGAAGACAGAGAGAGAGAAAGAGAGAGAGGGAAGAAAGGGGGAGAAAGAGAGAGAGAGAGAGAGAGAGAGAGATAGATAGAGTGAGACCAGAGAGGAAGACAAAGAGAGAGAGATAGAGAAAGAAAGAGAGAGAAGGAGAGAGAGGACAGGGAGAGAGAGAGAGAGAGAGAGAGAGAGAGAGATATGGGGATAAGATGGAGTAATACCAGAAAGGAAAACAGAGAAAGAGAGGGAGAGAGAGAGAGGGGGAAAAAAAAGATAGAATAGAAAGGAGATATTGAAAGAAGGAAAGAGACAGAGATGTGAACTGAATGCTAGAGAAAAGAGTGGTATGGGAATAAAAGAGAGAGAGGCAAAATTAGAAAGAATGAGAAAAATACTTCAACTGAAAATGCAACTGTAAATGGAACAGAAAATGGAACAGAAAATGGATAATGGAAAGACTTTGATTTAGCTTGTAGAAATTTATTGATTTTAGCTTTCATTCATATTGGATATGAAATGGTATTCCCTTTTTCAAGGTTAAAACTAAAAAGATTTGTAAATATAAAATATATTGAGTGATTTTTTTTTTTTACTGTGGCTCATATTTCAAACTGAATCTCAAGAAATCAATCTACTTTAAAAAAGCGAAGGAGAAAATACTAATATATTGAGATCGATTTTCAGGAAATGTATATATAAGTAAGATGGAGTAAAAATAAAAGAAAGCTAGAAAGCAGCTTAGTTGTGTTGAATTGAGCACTCCAGCAAATTCCCAGTGGCATTGCACGACTCGGATCAGATCCATGTATTTAGATTAGGTTTCATTATACTTTTATAGCATGTGATTGGTCGTGCAAGCCGCACAACGCTGTAGACATCAGAAGCTCTTCACTCACTCTCGAGTTGGGTTGTCTAGCGATAAGACGGTAAGTACAAAGCTCTCTCTCTCTTTTCTACGCTGGATATCATCTGCATCACGAGTCATTGACTGTTGCGTGAGTGTGAATAATGTCCTGTCTTTGATAAGCTTGGCAATATAATCTCAAACTTGTTGTAATTGGTCGAGCTGCAAGATATATTGCAATCTGTCACGAGCCATGGGAAATTTCTCTTTGATATGTGTTCGTGTTAGATCTAGCTATAAGTTGTTTATTGGATGTGTTGGGGTGAACACCTGAAGAATATATGACTTGATTACTTTATTTCTGCCAGTTGTGGAAGTGATACAGTTGTTTGTCTTGATAAGTGTCAGCTGATACAGTGAGCAACATTATTTGGTCATTTTGGATCACTTTTCACTTTTCATTTCTGGTAATATTTTATTAGTTGCGAGACAGGTTTAGACTTTGTAATATCAATTTTCTGTCGATGAGCTTTTTTTTCAAAGGAACTTTGGAATCAGATGGTTGGAAATTAGACTCTGTCTTATCTGGAGTGTTAAGATAATGATGCATACAATTTATGCACCTTTACTGCATTAAGAAGTACCCCTTTTCCGGAGATTCATGAACATGAGAGCTTGTTTTCTTACACAGAGATAAGTCCTTTTTCGTAGCTTATAACACGTGATATCTGTATGTGAAGAGTGATATGTCAGGAGATTCTTTATTTCATATTACTCGATCCATAAACCGTTAAAAGTTACTTTGATAAGTCACTAGCAACCCCCTTTCCTTACTAAGACACATGAAATGTTTTCATATCCATTTGTGTAGGACTATTTCATGACAAACTTCTTAATTTGGGTAAATTAATTGGGCAGGTACGTGACTTGCAACATTGCAACATTATTGACCTAAAATAAATTAGCATTAATGCATTCTCTTCGATTGTCAGAACTCATTGAGTTAAGGAGACAAAATCTTTTAAACAATATTTATAATGTCTGGTACCTGCATTAAAACATCCCTCAGTTGATTTATACCTTGAATTATAAATGAAATAACTCTATATGCACTGATCATCAATAATGATATGGAAAAATCCTTGATAGGGTCCATATGGTTTTATTCAGTGCTTGCATTTTTATTGTAATTAACAGGTATGAATATAGTTTTATGACCTTGGTTTACTGATATATTTAGTATTTTATATATTTATTTTAAAAAATTCTCATCGAAAGAGAAAGAACAGTATCATTGATAATTAGACCATCTGCTGTGTTAATAACTATTTAGAATTATTCAATTCACTTACATTTCAGCAGTTTTTGTCTGCAAGCTATTAGGATGGGTTGTTTCATCCTAAGTTCTTGCTGATGCAGTCAAACCTGCTTTATAGTGACCACCTGTATAGAAAGACCACCTGCCAATGAAGACAATATTTGCATTTTCCTTGAAAAAGTTTTTTCATGGAAACATGTACTAAAGAAATCTGTACATAAAGACCACTTTTCTTGTCTCCCTTGAGCGGGCTTTACATGAACATGTATATACAGGTTTCACTGTATACAGTTCTGATTCAGAAGTTAAGACACATATGCATGGATAGAGAAGAGGATGTTCACACTTATTATCTTATGAAGATGTGAACACATTTCTTCAGAACTATCAGTAGTAACAGATCAGAAACTAAGTCAAGATGATAAGTAGATGAATTTAGATTATATCCACTAAGATTTTGTGTAGCATTAATGTATTCTCATGCAGTGTCAGAACTCATTAAGTAAAGAAACATAAACAAATACATAGTATTCATTACGTCAATCACCTGCATTTAAACATTTCTCAATTGATTTACCCCTTGGATTATTAATGAAATATTCTGTATATGCACTGATCATCAATATTGAAAAGATATGCTATGTATAAGAAAACAACTTACTTATTGCGTGTATTCTCTGTTGAGAGCCAGAAGGGCGTTAACATTGTGCAAAAGTGTATGAGGAAATGCCCTTTTGGCTATCAAAAGATCTTGTATCACTAGTTCAAATATTGGTTTCCTGTTGTGCAGAAACGTTTATTAATCCTTGTTCATATGTATTGTGATAAACTGCCTTCAAAGCCTCTGTGACAGACTAAGAACTACTTTACTTGGGTCTTTCTCTCTCTCTCTCCCTCCCTCCCTCCCTCCCTCCCTCCCTCCCTCCCTCCCTCCCTCCCTCTCTCTCTCTCTTTCAGGGCCATTCTTGAGAAGCATTTGCTTTTCTTTTAGTCCATATTCCATACTGTATTTTGTATCATTGCTTGTATGCTTTTATGGATATCGTTAAATTATCAAAAAAAGATATCTTGAATCTTGAACTTTATCTTGAGCTCCATCATTCTGACAGAGGCCTCTAAGCATACTCATTTTATCTGTGTTTTAAGAAATTGACAAGTGTGAAGCAAACCGTGTCATTTTATTTTGTCCATCTTTTTCTGGTTTTCCATGTCATGCAAATAGGGTTGACTTTTGTTTCCTTTTTTTTTCATACGTCCTTGCGTACCCTAGCCTATAATCTAGGCGGAGTGCCGAGCTTTTTTCTTTGCTGCTAGACTAACCCTAAGCAGAACGTCTGATACAGCGAGACTATACGAACCGTGAGTCGCGAAACGGCTCACCGCCTATAATCACTGGTCTAGCTAATCAAAATTCATATATATTCAAAACGGCGGATCTATGAATCATTCAACAGCCCTACCAAATAAGGTACACCTATGTTACGTTCGACCAATTAGATATAAGAAACCGCAACGAAAAAAAATTGCGTTCGTCCATTACTGCTTCAATAACGCTACGAATAGCGGATTCCTGCAGTTCTCTGAATTTTCCATTAGGAATGCCTAGTTTGTTGGCCGCATATGATAAACTTTCTCGCAGAAGATTGTCGTCGCATGAACTACCCGCCATCTTGGATGAAGAAAATGACGTAATGTCACGTGATTTATAATATGCATATGCATAGACTCTTCTCCATACGTGTTTCTGATTGGTTGAGTTCATTTCGTATTCATGAGGTTTTTTCGTACGAAAAACTGCCACGGATTCATGGTCGATAATAAAAAAACAACGACTAAAGCTAAACCAGTGATTATAGGCGGTGAGCCGCTTCGCGGCTCACGGTTCGTAGTCTCGCCGTATCAGACGTTCTGCTTAAGGTTAGTCTAGCAGCAAAGAAAAAAGCTCGGCACTCCGCCTAGATTATAGGCTATGCGTACCCTCGACCTTTGCATGAGCCCCCAAACCAGCATTTGTTGTCTGATTCTGTACAATTTAAATCAGATAATGTTATCATTCATTACTATCTTAATGTTCTTTGGGATAGATTTAATAATACACATTCAAGGTAAAAAGGGATGGTTGTTGTTGTTGGTTAGTGTTTTTTAAGGCAGTCAGTCAGTTTTGACTATTATTTGAGGTGTGATCAACTTGTATATAGAGGCTTTATCACCGCAAGAGTTAATTGAATCAACGTGTGGTGCATGCATTATTAGATTTTACCTGCTTACATGTATGTACATTGTGGTGCTATTATAGTAAAAATATACCGAAGACCAAACACAAAGACAGCAAAGACAGTTGTCAACAGTGTATAAGCACCACTTACCCTGACAATGGGGAGTATATTGTAACTGTCATCTTAATATTCTCTTAAAAGATTTATTCAGGGTTTTTCTCTATATTTTGATCTGTCTCTCTTTTCCTTTTTTTAATACTTTTAAAGTGCTTTTAATAAATTGAAGGCCCTGAAACGGAGTGTAATGTTGATGAAGTAGGTTGTATAGAAAGGGAGATGGGAGGACATTGGCGTGGAAATGAGGGAATTCTTGGTATAGGAATCGTCGAGTAAGTAGGCGCCTCGCTGAATTCTAATCTTTGTCTCTCTTAGTTTATCGGCTTGTGATCTTGAAGGCTTGATGAGATTAGATACCCACAGGGGATCAGGAACACTTCTAAGACTTCCAAACAAACATAATGCACGGTCTCAAACAGTGATATAGTGAGTTCCCTAAGCGGTCTACTTGTAGCCTCCAATCTACTGACTCCTTTCATATACCTGTTCACACTGACAAATAATAATGTTTGAACGTGTCCTACTTGCCCACCTTCAAGTATCATCTCGTGTCTACTCTTAGTGAAAACTTGGCAGTGGGAAATAGCCTTGCGGAGCAGTGACTCTTTTGCACATACCGGTACTGTGATTTTGTGATTTGTTGTAATGGTTGAACATGTTCTACGTGCCCACAATCAAGTATCATCTCATATCTACCCTTGGTGAAAACTAGGCAGTGGGAAAAAGCCTTGCAGAGTAGCAACTAGTCTGCACATTCTGTGATTTGTCGTACAAAGTCATTAAAAGTGTAGCTCAAGAGCTTACAGGCATTTTCTACCCTGCGTGTCTAGGTAAAAATGTAGGGTGCACGAGAGGAAAAAAGGGAGACATATCTTTCCTACTTTGTATTCATGTACAGGCATAGCTGCATAGGCATGAAGCCTTGAACTAACATAGTTCTTTAGGGAAACTATGTTCATGATGGATAGTTGTGCTTCCGAAGATGATGATCATTTTATGATGATACTCCCGTGGTTTAATTCGTCTATTAAAGGTCATCTTTTTTGTTCTCATGTGGTTTGTTGGCCTGATTGTTTAATCATTGCTTTAAAGATCGGGTTCACATGCCGAAGGGCAAGGAGTCTCCTTTGACGGCTTTTATTTATTCTTCCATATGGGGCATACCTTATCCCTTTCAAGTTACATTAACAAAGAATCCTCCAGATTAATGCTTGTTACGTTTGATGTAACACAACAGAGTATTTTTAATAGTTACTCATCCATTTCTATCAATGACATTTCATGGATATACCATTATTTTCTGAGTTAAATTGGAGGCAATACTGCCCCCCCCCCCAAAAAAAAAAAAATAAATAAAATAAAAATAAAATAAATAAATAAATAAATAAAAAAATAAAAAAAAAATAAAAAATAAAAAATAAAAAAAAACTA